TGGCACTGCTGCTGCTGGTGCTGCTGCTGGTGCTGCTGGTGCTGATCCTGCCCCTGGTGCTGCTGCTTGTGCTGGTGGTGGTGGTGCTGCTGCTGGCACTGCTGGTGAAGCTAGTGCTGGTCCTGTCCCTGGTGCTGCTGCTAGTGGTGATGCTGGTGGTGCTGGTGGTGCTGGTGCTGGCAGTGCTGCTGGTGCAGCTGGTGCTGCTGGTGCTGGTGCTGCCACTGATGCTCCTGCTGCTACTGGTGCTGCTGCTGCTGGTACTGGTGCTGCTGCTGTTGCTGCTGGTGGTGCTGCCTGTCTGCGAATCATATTTCCAGCACTGCCCCACACTGAGGGATCAGATCCAGGCACTGCTGCTGCTCCCTCGGGACCAGCCCCAGTTTGGTTGTTGCTGTCAGTGCCAGCACAAGCCGTGGCTGGAGCAGCAGGTGCTGACAGTGCCCCAAGGCCCGGGGCTGGAGGGGTCCCTGGGCTGGGGCTGGGAGGGAGCTGCCCCTTCTTCTCCCTGTGCCTCACGCAGAGCTGGGCCGGGCACAAGTGGGGCAGCAGAGCCAACAGGGAGCCTGCGAGTCTCTTCCAGCCGTGTCTGCTCAGAGTTTGGCCTTGGAGCTTCAGGTGGGCAAAGGCAGCTGCTCTGCTCCCTCTGCGTGTCCCTGTGTTCAGCAGTGCTGCTCCATCAGTCTGTGCCCAGCAACGGGGAAAAGCCTCAGCCCTGCAGGGCCAGGAGCTGCCGGGCTCTGCCTGAGCAGCTCAGCCAGCGGGAAGGGAGCTGCTCCACACAGGAACCAGGAGCAAAGGACACTTCTTTTTCATAGCATGATTTCTGTTTTAAGGGGAAAAATGCAGAAAAATAAAAGGAAAAAACTTCTATAAAATGTGAAAGATAAAAACAGAACCCAAGCGTGCAGTGAAAAATCTTCTATAACTTTGAATTAAGGCGTAATTGGTCTTTTGAAACATAAAACTCACTTATCTACTTTGTAAATGTGCTGATGGCATGATGCATCTTACCGGCCTCAGGAACCTTTTTGAAAAAGTTTTTGGGGTTGGATTCCAATATTGTTATTTTAAATTGTGGTGAAATTGGAGTGAAGCAAGAAGAAAGTGCTTTGCGCTTTGCCAGCTCCAAGCAGCACTGGGAATCTAAACTCTGTGAAACCCCAAATCCTTTAGAAGGTGCCCTTCCTTCTCACCCTGTGAATGAGCTGCACATTCCCTTTCAAACATTCAATGGTTTCTTAAAGATGCAAAGTCCCACTTACAGCTTTTTGCTCTGGTTTGGAAGTGCAGAGGGGCGATTCTTCATCCATCAGCTCCAGACTGCACTGCCTCAGGAACGCAGCAGTGGCACTTCTAGAGGAGGAAGAAAAGTGCAATTGCACAATTGCAGCCAAAAAGAAAGGAAGAGTGTGACACAGAAAACATCCTGTGCAGATGCAGGCATTCAGCTGGGACTGTGGAGAGTTTGGGTTCTTGCCAATTGGATGTGTGTCCCTAACTGCAATCTCTTGGCCTGCAGGAGAGTCTCACTCACCTGCAAAAGCAGAAAGCTCAGGCGGTGTGCTGGGAACGGGCTCGTGTGATGCAAAGCTGTCAGAGCAATGGGAGGGCAGGGTGAGCCCAGCTGTGCCTGGGGCTGAGCCCAGCAGAGCCCTGGCAGAGCCCAGAGCAGCCTCAGCATCCGCAGAGCCCAGCTGCAAGGAGAGAAACCAGAAACCGCCCGTCAGCTGAAGGCTCCTGTCCCCTTGTCCCAGCCACCCACGGTGCCCAGGCCATGCTGGCCGTGCTCAGAGCTGGGCCCAAAGCTGCCCATCACTGCTGCCTTTGGGAGCAGAGCAGGAGGGCAGGCCATGTGCCCAGCCTGCAGCCAGCCACGGCAGACCCAGCCCCTCAGCAGCTGTCCAGAGACAAAAAGCAGCTTGGCAGCCAACTGAAGAATTGCTTGCATCCACCCCAGCCAAGGGGGGAACCTTTGGTGCCTGGCCAGGCTGTGCCATGCCCAGATCTGGGAGCATCCCCTGGCTGTGGACTCACCTGCAAATTGGGCGTGGAGCGAGTCTTTGAAGAAGACATGCCAGAATTGAAATCCATCATCTTCAGCTGGCCAGCTGGAGGAAGAGATTGCCATCCTTGAGGTTGTCCTTGGTGTCTCCAGCAGCAGCCCCAGCTGGTAACAGCTTCTCCAGGGGCTCCTTCTCCTTGCCTAGGGGCCAGACCAAGCTGTCAGTGCTCTGCCCAGGGTCCCAGCCATCAGTGAAGCAGACAAGCAAAAGCAGGGGGAATGGTGGCCACCAGTGCTTGCCACACCAGGTGTCCAGCTCAGCTCCAGCCCAAGAGCTGTGTGTTCCCTTCTGATGACCCCTGCTCAGAGCTACAGGCACGACAAAAACAGCCTGGTTTGCTTTGCCACCGATTGCCAAGAAATGTGTGGAGCTGTTACCTGCCAGGCCCCTGGATCCAACTGTGCATGTGGATCTCTCCCATCTCCTAGGGCAGATGAACAGCCTGCATCCAAGGATCGCGGAAAAGGTCTTCTAAGGATGGCCTGTCCGAGGGTTGCATGGACAAACACCTCTTAATAATATCTTGGCATTCTGAAGAGAGAAACCAGGAATCACCAGTCAGTTGGAGAAGTTGCCGCCCCCTTCCAGTGCCCAGGCCATGCTGGGTGTGCCCAGAGCTGGGCCTCAACTTCCCCATGGATTCCCTGTCTGCAGGAGAGCAGGACATGTGCCACCTCCTCAGCAGCTGCCAGAGCAGGATGCTCATGAGCCCACAGCTGTCTCCCAAGCCTGGTGTTCCCCCTGTGCCCAGAGATGAGGATTCACCTTGGGAGAGCCGTCGTGGGAACAAGATCCGCCCCCAGATGATCTGCTGGCCCCTCATGAATGGGTGCTTCCCTATGACCAGCTGGTAGAGCAGGAGGCCCAGGGACCAGATTGTTGCTGCCTGGCCATGGTAGCGTTGCTGGTGGATCCACTCTGGTGGGCTGTAGGACAGGGTTCCTGTGGAACACAGATGGAGCTCATCAGGGGGATGCTGCTGCTCCCAGAGCCTGGCCCCAGCATCCCTGGGCATGTGGGGGCTGCCCCAGCGGCACACGGGGT